TTTAAAAATAAAAAAAAAATTAAAAAAATTCCAAACCTGTTGAGTCATAAACTCAACCAACTGGACAGGGGAGCTGCGTGATAAAGCCTCCCCAGAGCCTGTTGAGCCAGGTTTGACAGGAACCAGCCAGATCTGGGACAGGCAGACCCACACCCAGGGACTCTCCTGGGCTGGACCAGTAGCAGCCGAGGAGGAGGAGGAGGAGGAAGAAGATGCTTCCTTTCAGACCAGGTCATTAAGTCCTCTTGTATGGCCTCAGGGCTGGAGCTCGGGCTGGAAAGAGGAGACCCAGTCTCCGCGCAGGTCCTGGCTCTGGGTTTCTGCCTGTTTTGTGTCCAGAGGTGCATACGGCACCATCCTGCCCCCGGTGCTGGGAAGGAAAAACCCCTGGTGACTCCCAGGCGAGGGGCAGGAACTTTCCTAAGGGGTATTTACTGGTAGCTGTGGTGCTGCTGGGATGAGTGGAGGGCGCTGGTCCCGCTCCCCGCAGTTGCACCCCCCTCACCCGGCAGCTTCTCCCTGGATGAAATGGAGCTGGGATCTGGGGTGGGGTCAGATGGGGACATCCCCCCCTCCCATCCCCATCCCTGCCTGCTGGGTTTGCTGGGGTGGTTGGCATCTTTGCGGGGTGTCCAGGGGGGCTGACGCTGTGTTTGTGCCCCTCCCCAGTTGTGCTCATTGGAGACTCTGGGGTGGGGAAGAGCAACCTCCTCTCGCGCTTCACCCGCAATGAGTTCAACCTGGAGAGCAAGAGCACCATCGGGGTGGAGTTTGCCACGCGGAGCATCCAGGTGGACAACAAGACCGTGAAGGCTCAGATCTGGGACACGGCCGGGCAGGAGCGGTACCGGGCCATCACCTCGGCGTGAGTTTCCTTGCTCCCCCCCTGTGTCCCCCCCGCCCCCACTTGGGGGGGCCCTGCTGTGACCCTGTCCCCCTCCCTGTGTCGTGTGTCCCCCCCCCCAGGTACTACCGGGGGGCGGGGGGAGCTCTGCTCGTCTACGACATCGCCAAGTACCTGACGTATGAGAACGCCGAGCGCTGGCTGAAGGAGCTGCAGGACCACGCCGACGCCAACATCGTCATCATGTTGGTGGGCAACAAGAGCGCCCTGAGGCACCTGCGGGCCGTGCCCACCGATGAGGCCAGGAGCTTTGCAGGTATCTCCCCCCCCCATCCTGCCCCGTCCTGTCCCATCCACGGGGCAGGCGTGGCTGGTGGCACCCGCCTGAGCTCACCCTGTCCTTGCAGAGAAGAACGGGCTCTCCTTCCTCGAGACGTCTGCTCTCGACTCCACCAACGTGGAGACGGCTTTCCACAACATCCTCTCGGGTAAGGGGCAGCCCGGGAAGGCGGCGGGGGGGAACAGAGGCGGTTTCGGACATTGTCTTCTCCCACAACCCCACTGGGGACCCTGGCTGGATGTTCTGGGGTGGGATCCTGCTCCCCTGGATGGGGAGATGCAGGCATTTGCACCCCTTGAGCTTTGGGGGGGGGGGGAGGGGGGGCAGGTCCCCCACTGAATTAATACTTATATTTTTGTTTTTCCTTTCTCTCTCTGCTGGCAGAGATCTACCGCATCGTGTCGCAGAGGCAGATCAGTGGGCAGCCGGAGTCAGAGTTCGGCCCCACCACGACCATCGAGCCCATCCGGGTGCTGCCCACGCAGCAGGAGGGCAGGCAGGCACCCTGCTGCCAAAATATCTGAGCCCCCCCCCGGGGTGCCCCTGCCCTGACACCCACCGCCACCACCCAGCACATGCTGGCATCGCGTCTCTCGCCCTCTACCTCTGCTCCCTGCAGCCCCCCAGAACAGGACGGGCCGGTGGCTGCTTCTGCACAGCCACCCTTGTGCGCCCCATCACGCTGCCTGTGTGCTGCTCTCCCTCTGGTTTTTGTAGGACCTACATAAATAGGGGAGGGGG